GATTGTGTGACAAATAATTTACTTTCGGCTTCTTGATCCTGCAGGTGAATTAGGCAGCTTTTGTACAGCTCTGAGCAATCTGTTAGCACTAGCGAATCATTCATGTACATTGCGTTATTTATTCTACGTTGACTCATGAGTCTGTTATGTACAGAACATAACATGCGTTGTTGAACCGCCTTAAAAAAATGGCGTACGTGCCTCCAAACAACTACGTATATTTGCTCCCGCCATATGTGCGGTTTAGACGTGGGTCGAAGACCACCTTGAGGACGTCTGATTATTGGATGATTTGATGATAGCTCCAAAAGTTACGTCATACGATCCTCACATTAGCCTTAACACTGGTAGTAAATCCGGGAGGTTTAACATCGCTGACACTAAATCTTGTGCAATTTTCATGCGCAAGATCTATCACCCGGATACTGACCATTTCCTTCGACTTGAGAAAGGTCGTGTTCAAATTTATATGACGCACATTTATATATTTGAACTTGTGTGTTTATAAGTCAGGCATCGTTGAGGGGTTTTGAGGTAAACTAACATACCATTTTCCCCTGGCACGGTATCACAATATGATTTTTCATATCTCTTCTGATATTGTGTCTAGATGGTCTGTTCACTGTTCCCTGTATTGTAGAATACAATAAAAACGGTTTCTGACATCTGGCCAATCACATCAGCCCACCAGCACTGAAAAGTTTATACAATTTATTTTGCACCCTTCATTTGTCCGTGTGTTTTTCTTGTGGGATTTTCTATGTATATCGCGATTATTTTCAGCTGCAATGTTGAGTATCAAATGATTACTTATTAAGGAATTAATAAGGGCGAGAAAATAAGTGGTTTCAACATTTCCCTGGAGGAAAAGTGGAAAACAGGGAAGATCTAAGTTTAATCGGTATCCTGACCGAGATTCGAAACGAGCACCTTCTAAGAGCGAACCACATCATCACGAAAATCATTCAGTTCGTCGTATGATTACATGCCGACAGTTTGGGGGATCCACATTTTTACGAGTGTTCGATAATTTGGTGTGGAATGTTGACGTTAGTTCCCCCTCTGGCAAATCTTTCAAAACACCCGATTGCTAGAGAATATACTGGATTTTCTTAGCATGTGAAGTGTACTGATAGTGCACATGTTTATCTTCTTCGTGCGTTGTAAACATCCGTAAATATTGTAGATGTGGTAGAACATCGTGCTGTTGGAGATTTCGCCAACTTGTGACAAACCCAAACCTCGACATGTCGTCAATATGAACTCGGACAGTGTAATATGTCGTTGACATTTTGTTTGGTGATAGTATGTATTTTGAAAATATGTGTCTCTTATTCAGGGTGTTTTTACAAAATGTAAATGAACATCTTGACTGTACGAAATATTTTGGTTTGATGATTCCTGAACTTTGTTATGTTATAAACAAATGTGCTTATAGTACGAGTGGTATTAAACCCTACGTGAGCTAATCTTTGGAACCCTGCAAGTAACCATACCAACGGAGTCATTTTATTACCTGTTTAAATAAACTAACAGATTGACTGTGACGAAGCTCTGGAAAGTTATAACGATTTTTACAGATGTTACAGTTTCCATTGCCTTTATCCAGACCGGTTTTGTATCCCAACCACCATTTGCACTGGGTTAAAGCGACCTTGGCGTGAAGCTGGCCACTCACCTCTGGTGACAGTGTGGATTGTTACCTCCACCCCCATACACATGTATGACAGTGTTTAAGGATAGGGGAAAATGTGTACAGAGCGCATGCCCCAGAATGTAATTGCAAAGCACTCTAAAGAGTTGTCATCTTTACTAATGCAGCGGATATAAGAAAGTTTCGCAAATATGTTTCTCTGTTCATTAGGGCAAGATATCTGAATACGTAATTGTAACGCCAAGCTGAGAACTGTTTCAATAATACATCGTTAACGTAAACTATTTAGAGAGCCAAACCACAAAAGAATAAGCTGGAACGTCTTTCCACACTAAGTGCGATAACTTTACACTGACAACACTGCGATAAGTGCTAATCAGTTCTTGTGGTTTCAAGAGAATCTATAATGCATTCGCAGACTCTTCGGCATGCGTTCCCTGTTAACGTTCTGTCACGTACGCTTTGAAAGTACGAATTCGACGAACAATTATACCTTGGTACTTAACAGAAAAATCCTTTGAGTACTGGCATCAGTAACGTCCAGTCAGACGCTTGTGCAGCCATAATTCTGTGTGGAGAAAATATCTGGCTGTTGTCCATGAAATTCGGCGATGACTGTCAAAAAAAGTTAGCTGATGCAATGAAAATTGGTATCTTCATCGCAAGATTACTTTTGAAAAGTGACGTCATGACATTATTATTATTATTATTATTATTATTCAGTGTTCTGTCCATATGAAGAGGATCCTTCCATCCTTTTCTCGGACTGGGACCTGTTCATATACGTTCTTGGCAGATGATCCAGAAGTGGTTTGCCATTGCCTTCTTCTGTGTGTGAATGGAGTAATTGTTGGGATGCCACGGAGAAACCGGGGAAGCCCCCGGAGGAAAACTCCGTGTTGCCTAGACCACGGCCTTGCCCAACACAAGTTATAATTTCGGGCACCCCCGGGAATCGAACCCGAGACCCCAGGATTACAAGGCCAGCGTTCTAACCGCTACACCACCGTGGCGGTCGTCATGACATATTTCAAGGTTATTATGCGGAAGCCGAAGAAATCCTCGAAAAAGTGGGTTAGGGATAGATTGGCCGCGATTCGAACGGGTGCCTTCTTACTTCTAGTGTAAGTGTTAACCACTTATTCAGAGACAGTTATTGGTCGCACTTTGAATTTTCGTTACTCGTGGTGCATTGCCAGCTACAGATTTTGTTGCTACGATAAAACACCCCCAGTTTACTGGTATGTAATGAAATATTTATTATGTGAAAGGTGGTCACCTTGTTTTGTACAGAGTTAAATAATGCAGGGTAGTTTAGGACTTGGCACTTGCCTGTGAAGTGTACTGTATCGTAGATGCATCTGAACTTCCTTTTTTTGTTTTTGCGTTGTAATAATAGCCGCTCAGGATAGCCAATCTCCGGGCCTAGTTTGGACCATATAACGTGTAAAAAATTAAGCAACGTTTGATGGCCCATTCACGTAAGACGAAGAGTTTCAGTCTTCCACATTCGATCAGCTGACAGAAAAGTTACAGCTCAGTTTTGGCAGTTGACACCTGTGTGGGTTTGTAACTAGACAGTCTCACTTTTAATAACAATCAACTGTCGTGCGTCAGGAATCATATCGCCTCGAGAATGTTAAGGTGGGTGTCAAAATGACATCAGTACCTGGAGATAATTGTTATAACTTTGGACGTAATTGAGATTTACGAACCGTTGTTGATGAGCTGGATGCGACCCTCGAAATGCGGTCATCTTTGTGTATTGGTGGGTGCCATGTGTAACATCTACCAAAAGTTTTGAAGTTATCGTTATACCCATAACAGCAGATCAACTCAATGCTGACTCGCGTTTAGGCAAGGGCGGTTCACGTCCAGGTCGGCGTCCGGTTTATTTTGTGTGGGGCCACAGGAAAGAAGTTGCTTAAAACAAGTTGCATTTCTGAACATTAGGTTAGAAATAAGATGATCAAAGCAATTTACAGTTTGCCAGCCTCAAGTACATTACATTCTTTGGACTGTCGCTGTGGCAAAAATAAAAAATTGAGATAAGATAAGGAGTGATCCTGTTCCCAGGGAGAAGACGCGCCAAGGAAGGTGATGTCTATCCTTTCTGTATTGGCCGTAGATGGCACATCTTTCCCATGAACATACCAAATTAGAAAGAAGACGATAATCCAGATTAATAGGAGGATACTATTAAAGTGGAAGAAAGAAACAGGGAATGAAGGTATGGGATGGAGTAAATTGAATCAGGGTAGTGACGAGAGTGATGATGGTCATAAATTTTTGGGTCCACAAAACCAGTCAATTTCTACATCAACTGAATAACA